TATTTGATAAAATTATAGGCAAATAAATATTGCTAATTTTAATTATTGAACCCTTACACTAATATATTTTTGCACTAAAAAAATTATGCAAATTAAATTTAAAATAGTTTTTTGTTTGCCTTGAATGCAAATGGCCAATATTTTGCATAAGGCGCTTCTTTGTCTACGGCAACGGCCTTGCAGCAGCTGAATCAGCCAGGAAATTAGTTGGCTTAGAGAGCGGCATTTGCTGGCCAGAGTCGAAGCGTTTTGTTCGAATGGCTTGGGACACGCTCACTTAGCCAACTGTGGCAAGTTGGCCATTAGCCGGCTTAATCAATGTTCATGATATTTGTGCAAGAGAGCGAGAGAGCGAGAGGAAGAGAGAGTGGGAGGGAGAAAGAGAAACGAAACGGAAATTGATATTGAATACCTTAAATTCAATTTGCAGCCAAATTGATTAACACCTGCTGCAATTAAGTAGCGGTAAATGTGCTTTAATCACTTTTGCTAGCTGCTTCTATTGCTGCTGCTGCTTCTGCTTCTGYCTCTGTGTCATGAACGGGCGACGACAGATATTCAATGGCTCAATGCGAGATGTGATTGTTTGTTGTTGTAGTTGCTGCTGTTGCTTTTCTTCCTGTTCCTCTTCCTCAGATCTCTGTTTCACTTTTGAATACCATGCGCCGCACACAAAATAGAAACTTTTTCGCGTTTGTATCTTTGATCGCCGTAAACCGAACTAAATCGATTCTCACCATACAGCTACCATTAGAAGCCAAAAAGACAGAGATGCCAAAGCCAAAGCCAAAGCCAGAGCCATAGCTGGAGCCAGAGTACCGATGCCACAAAAAACTTCCACAACTCGCGAAGCTGCCGTTGCTCACCAAAAGAAGAAAAAGATCAACGCCTGTCGAGCGACCAGTTCTCGCTGCTGCTGCTGCTGCTGTTGCTGCTGTTGCTGCTGCTGCTGTTGCTGCTGCTGCTGCTGCTGCGGGCATCTCGTAGTAGCAGTTTATTTTATTTTTTCTTCACTCTTCTACATGTTATTTATTTTCAGCCACACTGTATACACACATTGAAAGATATCAAATAGCCGGAGGCTGCGAAAATCTCTGGGCAACTTCATTGATCATCGATTCATAGAGATGGAGGTACGACTAGCTTCTAGGCCCCGGGGCAAACCCGACTTGTTCGCTTATCTCGCGTCTCATCGAACTGCTTTCAATTAGAAGAGAAAGTTCTTGCTACAAAAACAAAAACTAAAAAAAAGTGAAACAGCAACACACTCAAACCTTGTTTCACCTGGGGGGCAAAGATGCTTTTACTCTCTGCCATCGTCGCCTCGCCCAACAGCGGAAAGATTTTCAAAATTGCACCTCATAAATTACACAGTTGATATATCATCACAGTTGCCAAAAGCTGACTCACTGATCACTTTATGATCGAGCGAGAGTCCAAAAATAAACCTTGGGCAAGCGAAACTAAATTACCCAAAAGGTCAACAAGACACAAGTTCTCTTCAAACGAAATTGTTAGAAAGTAATGAAAACAAAAGGTAAATACAAGTCACAAGTCAAAGAAAATCTTTTAAATCTATCTATGAATTAGGAAAAAACTTAACTTCATGGAAAAAATAATTAAAGTCAAAAGAAGCTACAATTTGTAATATTGGAAGGCACAGGAAAAGCTACGTTTCAAAACTTGTAATATTGTTCCTATTTTAATGGTATACTTTATAAGTAACTTTTATAGATTCGATTTTACATATACAATATATTTTAATAGAACACCTCTATTAATTAAACAAGGTAGATATGTTTTCTCCTACCAACAATTTCTTAAACATCTTCTTGAAATTTCAGAGTTTGTTTGAAAATCTGTAAGGGATCTTTTCAGGATGAACTATATGTATCTATTACATCAATTCTTCTAATTTTCAGATTAGATATTATCAGTTCGATATTAAAGGATTTGCAGCAAAGAATGTCCCTAGCCATACCGATATGGTTACATGGGGGTAAGATTGATTTATCTTATCCGAGATCTTTATAAAAGATCATAGATACTTTCATCTAACTTGAATGGAACAATTCGATATACTAACCCGAAATTTATCATATTCGTTTTAAAAGTGAGCTGAATCGACTGATACATAGTATATATATTGATCGGTTGGACTGGATGCAGCGCACTCTAAAAACAAATATGAAATTCCCTCTGTACATTCCCTGCCCTTAGACTCACAGCTATTAAAAAGGTATTTTAAGCCAATATTTGTTTATTGTGCGAACGTTAAACATTTCCAGAAGGTACTAAAATTTGTATAATTTTTTTTGTATGTATGTGTATATTGTATATTGTGTATTTGGATGAGCATAGCTGATTTTGTTTTCTTTCTAAAAATACTTTTCATGGACAAAATGCGAGTTAATATAGAAGCTTTCCATAGTCATAAAATATTCTCTTATGCACTTTATATAGAAATTACTGTTACATACATCATTATACAACGTTATCTACCCTGCATTAAAAGCAAAAAACATAAAATACAAATTCCTAATTAATGTTGAGAATGTATTGTTGTAAACATTGCTGAAAACATTGATTGTCTCGCCATGACTAATAAAAATTTGAGTTGACGATAAGCCAGAATAAATAAAAAATAAAAAAAGGGAGAAGGGTATGGGGGGAAACAGGTAATAACATTTATAAGATTCCAAAGCATTAGATAAGCCATCGATCAATTCTGATTGCAACTTAGTTGAGTGAAGTCTGAATACTACATAGGTTTATACATACATATGTATGTTTGTATATCAATGTCATCTGGCGAATGGCGCTGCAGACCGTTCTATGTACGTATACGTGTTACGTATGGATCTCTTAAATGAAATGTACGTAAGCAAATTAATTTGCTGGCCATAGCCACGCACTTGGGTAATTGAATTCAATTGAACCGAGTGCGCAGCTCGTAAAGAAAACGTGGAAGCAGGCAAACGACAAACTTTGATCCATCAAAAGCAGCGCACGAAGAGAGTGCGAGGAGCAAGCAGCGAGAGCGCGCGACGTAGGCGTCAAATCGAAATGAAATGGAATGTGGCTGATGGCGATTGTGAGTGTGTGAGTGAGAGTGAGAGGGGCGACGGGAACAGTGGCAGTTCGTAAAACTGAGACTGGGTCACTGTTACAAGCGCAAGAATATACGAGTGAATCGGCCCACAAAGAGAAAGAGAGTGAGAGAGTGAGATAGAGAGCGAGCGCACAGACACTGCTGCTAATGAATCAGTTGTTGCGGTTAGAATCGAAATTGAGTTAAAGTTAGAAGAGAGGGAGAGAGCGATAGCGAGAGTGGGAGCGGGAGCGCAATGGCGAAGCAGCGGCAGAGCGGGTACAGCATTGAACAAAGAATCGTTTGCATTTGACAGCTTCAGACTTCGCTTTCATTTCGTTCTGTTTTTAACCGCTCTATTGTAATTTAAAATTTATGCGTTTTTTATACATTTCTTCTTTCATGCTGCTGTTTTACTTTCACACTCAGGCAAAAAGGTTCGCGGCGTTTATAATGACAACGGCAACGCCCACACGTTAACCAGCCCCTCAATTTATGGCTGATAAGTTAGCTTTTTCTTTTTACCTTCTTCTTCTTATTCTCGTTCTCATAATTCCTTTACCCTTTTGTTGCAGAACTTTAATTGAATTTAGAAATGTCTCAAGAAGTTGAGCGTAAGTTTTGTTGATTAAAAATCTTAGAGTTTATTTGCATTTATTGTATGTTAATTTAGGTTTTCACACATTTGTATAAAATACAATTAATATTAGGTATAATAAATACAATATACATATGTTTATATGCAGACACATCAATAATTTGCATTCCATCAAAAATAGTCTAACAAATGAGTTCAATTTGTATTGTTTTATTGCATTTTCATTTCGTATTCATATTTCTCAATTGATCAACATATCAGTTTTTACCTCTGATTCGGTCTGGAAACTACCAGAAGCGAGCTCCAAAAATTTACATTTCAGGTGTGTCGTGTACTTAAACATAAAAAATAAGCTTACAGAGTAGGTATATATTTATATAGTTACATATATATGTGTGTGTGTGTGTTGAGAGTATGCGTGTATATAGCTAAAGTATTGCACTATATAATATTATTATGGTAACCAATTTACATATGTTTCAAAAATAAATTTATACCCGAATACATAGGTCGTATACGAGTTACACCCAAAAGCCTTAGTGAAAATTTTGCACGAAAAAAACGGAAAATTATGTAAAGCTTAAACGTAGAAAACCCCAAAGCAATAAAGAGAACTTTTTGTAACTGGCAAAGGGACACGCTAAGAAAAGCATACGATGAAGTGTTGTAAATGAAAAAGAGGGAGATAGGTATATAGAAATACAGATATAGTATGGGAAAGGGAGAGGGAGAGAGAGAGTGAGAGAGGTAGAAGAGGACTGTGATGTCCTATATGAAGTTATGATAATCTGATTGGGTAAATAGTAGATCAGAATTGACCAAACGGAATGTGAATCCAACTCTCTGCGCGCGATTGCCTTAACAATTGCATTGTTCCTTAAACACTTTTAAGCCTCTAACATGACCCCCCCGGACCTTGGGCTATCAAAATCCTTGGCAGCATTGCCGACGCAGGCTCCGAGTTTGCAGGGATTGCAGCTAAATTTCAAATTTGTTTGCGCCCCGCACTCGTCGACTCGGACATCCTGCCTGTAAGCCAAATCAACCGCCCAACCAATCAACCGCCCAATCACTATTATTGACGCCGATCGCCGGCACGGGTGGCCGCATGCCTGGACTGTTGCTGCTCCTTGTCGCGCAGCTCCTTTATGGCGCCCACTGTGCCGAACATCACCTTGGCTGTCAGCTGTGTGTGGTGCGAGGCGTTGGCTTTGCTGCTGGCATTTGCGTTGGCCTCCCGATCCAGGCCCGTGTTCGCATTGGCGTAGGCGTTCGTATAGGACACGTAATTGTTGTTCAGATCGCGACCGCAGCTGCACTGATGCGACATGTTGCACGTGTTCTAGTTGTTGCTAAAGAATCGGCTTATCGATCGACGACGGACGAAGGGGCGACGGCGGAACTGCGACGTGGATTTGATATATTGGCTGGCTGGCTAGTTGCCCACTTGTTGAAGCTGCTGTCTATATATACATATGTGTATATATTGGCTATATCTTTGCCCAGTTGGACTCAAAGTCTTGCAGCAGTTGATCCGCTCGCTGTGTGTGTGGGTTGCTTGGCGAACGCGCGTGTGCACGAAACAAAACTCAAAGTAAAGTTGTTTCTGCTCCTCGTCGTTGTTGTGGTCGTCGCCGTCGTCCGATAGTCGCTCACACTTTCACAGACTCACTAGAACTAATTTCGAAAAACTGTGGTGTTGTTTTTGTGGCGTTACCAGCCAGCCAGCCAGTCAGCCAGAGTCACAGCGGCAGCGACAGCGACGGCAACGGCGACAGCGACGATGAGCGCTGAGTATCAAAGAGAGCGTCCGAGAGCGTGTGCAGAGCGCGAACGTCAACACAAGCGTCAGCTGAGCGCGTGAGCCGCCTGGGAGCCAACTGAGTGCCAAAATAAAATAAATAAAAACTCTCTGCTGCTGTTGCTGCTGCTGCGATCGTCGTTTCAGTTGTTGTTGTTGCTGTTGCTGTTGCGTTGCTGTTGCTGTTGCTGCTAGTGGGCGCTGCAGTGAAATGATAAATTTCTCTACACTTTGCAGTCGATCTACACTGGTGAGCGCTCAAGCAAAAAGCGATTTAAATATTTTCAATATCTGTCAGTCGGATGATCGATCGATTGCCTAGGCGAACACTGATAATAATAAATGAACGCCAACTATTTTGCAAAAAGAAAAATATTTGAGTTAAATAAGTGAAAATAAATATGTGTTTTGCATTTTGCAGTAGAACGAAATTATTGATTCAGTGTGCAGTCTAGCATCGGGATGCTGCTGCTGCTGCTGTTGCTGCTGCTGCTGCTGCGACGATGACGCTCACTACGACGACAACGATGGCGATGGCGACGGCGACAGCGACGGCGACGACGGCTTGTTGAGCTGCGCGCGAGAGCTTTCTTGATTGCAGCTTAGTTTCTAATGGCCTCGCCCCTCTCCTTCTCGAGTTCCCTTTCCCCACGAGCTCAGCATGTAATTTGTGCTGCCTGCGCCGACGCTGCGCTTGTGTAATATTTGCGTCGTCGTCTCCGCTTGCTTGTTTTGGTTTTTGTTTTCTGCTTTTTTGTTTCTTTTTTGTTTTGAGTGGTAGCAAATTGTGTTGTATTTCTGTTACTTATTTGTTGCTCGTTTTTGCTTATAACATTTTGCGAATTCCAAGCGCACGCTCCAAACAACAACAAAAGCAACAATTACGACAATGCTATAGTAAATTATAAGTGCACGCGCATGAGTTTCAGACGGTGAGCGCCGCCAGGTGAAAATCAGTAAGCGCTGCAGTAAGCAGCAGCAGCGGCTGGCTCACCTGTTGCCTTTCACACACACACACATGCATGCATGGCTGTTGTCTTTACGATTGTTGTTTTTGTTGGCATTCATCAGGTTTCATTCACCTTTTGGCAGCAGCAGCAGTCGGAGCAGCAGCAGTTCCAGTCGTATATTATATTTTAAGATAAAAAAAAAAACAACTTTTGTCTATGTGGCCGAATCGTTTAGTTTACATAATTGGAATGCAAATAGGCTTGAATCACTCTGAGTGCCCTGTAGTCGCGTCTTGTTGGTTTTGTTGTTCTTGTTTGGACAGCTGCACCTTGCACATTGCGCACTGCGCATTGTGCATTGTGCATTACGATTGCGCATACGCAACGTGATGCAGCCGGGCCGGGCCCGGGCCGGACCCTAAAACGGAAATGTCAGCAAACGTATCCAGCGTTGAACCTGACCTCATTTTAGCTGGCAACAATTCTATGAGCAGTCGCCAGGCGCATTTAGAATGACATAAACAACGATCGCGACGTCGACGTCGCAGCTAACGCCAATGGCGACGGCGACGTTGACGCCGACAACAGCGGCAGAGCCAGCAGCGGAGTAACAGCAGCAGCGCATTCGCTTTCGATCAAGTGACCATATCACTTTCCTCCATTCGCAAGCCACAGAGTGGAACTACCAGTTTTCTCCAAGAACTTCAAGTTGACCCATATACTTGAAAGCACACACACACACACACACACGCACAAGCACAAGCACACACAGGCACACACATACGAAGATGGCGTCGCAGCGACGCTGCTGCTGTTCCAGTGGGTGGCAGCCAGAATTCCGCAAGAAAGAGCAGGCGAGAGGCATAGCGAGATGAAGAGATATTTCTACATGAAGAGAGTAGGAGTTTGAAGAGAATAGCAGATAGAGAGCGGAAGAGCGCAAGTGCTGGCGCTTGGAAGAGTTCGAAAAGAAAGCGAAAAAGAAATTTCAATGCAGCGAAGCGTAGAATGGATAACATACACCTATATACATACAAACATATATGTATGCATACTGCTAAAACTATATGTATATGCACACGCATACACACACTCGCACAAACATAGCGCCGACGTCCGCTGCCTACCTACTTCTGGCCCTGCCAGCGGCACAGGCGGCTCTGTCCGAAAAAAAGTGTGTCACTCAGAAGAAACCGGCAGCAGAGTCAGCCGCGGCACACGCTGCGCCGCAGTGAAGAGAGGCCGGCAGCAACATTCTTTACTGACTTTCTGCCTTCCATACACACACACACACACACACACACACAGAGCAACAACCAGTACACAAATATGCATACACATGGAAGTGCAAGAGCAGGCAAATACACAGACACCCACACATACATATTTATTCTTTGTTCTAATTATAATTTTGAGCACACACACCCATACATATGCTGTCATACGTGTGCAGGCTATGCTTTGGTGTGTGTGTTTGGCTTTTAGCTTATGTTAGTGCTGTTGCCGCTGCTGCTAAATCTGTTGTCGTTGTTGTTGTTGTTGATATCTAACGCCACATAAGTTCATCTGGATCTCAAGTGCATTTGGCGCTGCACTCAGCTCTTTTTTCTCATGCGCCGAATCAATTAAAAACCAACAAAAAACTTGTTGTGGGAAAAATCGCCGAAAACCTGCATAAAAATCGTGATTTTTTCATCTTTTTCTTTTTGTTTTTTGTCATCTTACAAGTACTAAAAATGTTTTCTTTGACGTTTATTTTTCTGCTTATGCATTTTTGGTGGGAAGTTTACAGTGCAGCTGTGTGCGTGTGTGTGTATGTGTATGTTTGTGTTGGAGTAGGTGTGGGCTAAACTGGTTGAATGGTAGTTGGCTCGTTGGCTGGTTGGATGGCTGGCGCGGGTTTGTTGCCCCCGTAGCCACAGTCAGAGCCACAGCCGGATCCACAGCCAGTGCTCCAAATGATGATTTATTGCTGAACTTGTCTACTGGAGCACTAAATTGAAATTACTTGAGATTCGGCTTGCAGCTGTTTTTTATTTGGCAGTGCCGCACTCGATATCCTCGACAGACTCGGCCAGAGGCTGAGAGGCTGAGAGGCTGAGACTGAGGCTGGCGCAACAGCAAAGCGAACAGCACAAATCAAACATATGCCGTGGAACGCGGCTAATGACTTACACCGCACACTCGGACCACTGGGAAATTTATGAACCTGTTCCGGTGTGTAACGCAGCGACCTTTGAGATTAGCCTACCACGCCTCGAGCAGTTGGCCAGGCTATGTGGACATGGACATGGATATGGATATGCATATATGGAGATGTCATGCCATGTTCGCTCGTCATGAGCCGCCCGTTATCAATGCTAAGATTTATGATCGAAATGCTGTGGTGAATACTCCGGAACAGATAGATAGATATCGTGTTTTTTATAGATATTCGCGCGACCCATGGCTATAATCAGTTGACGTCATTGTTGAAATGTTAATAAGCTCGGCATATTGAGCCACGCAAATCTCAATGCAATTTCAAAGTTCATCATGATTTGGGATAATTATGATGCCACGCTGAGCGCTCGACCATATCGAGAGCGCGTTACGTATACGTCCGAGTGGCAATTAGCGACGGCCGCACCAGGACTTGTGTCCTAGCCATGCCCCGCCAATTCCGAATATATATATATATATACACGTATTTAGCGTAATATTTTGCAATTAGCCAGCGATTTTCGTATTACGTAGTTTAACTACTATTTACTATTAAGCGCACAGCGGGCGACAATTGTTGATGGCTTCTGCTAGTTGGCCATTTGCCATCGCTGAATTGCTATTAGGAATTACCAGGATGCTTTTAACGTGTGTTCCCTCGCAACTTAACACACTATATTCACTTCCACGGAGAGTTACATGAACAAACTTTACGCTTAATGACATTTCCATTAATTTCATTGGGTCAATTTTAGTTTTCAAGTTAACTGTAATTTATGAAGTGTTTTTGCATTTATATAAATATGTAAGCTGGTTGGTAGACGGAAAAAGTTATATCCATCACCGATCGATGCATTAACAGCTCCATCCTATCCTAATATATGAAGTGAATTTGACACAAATTTTAAATATTTTTAGGTAAGCCAAAATTTACTTTGCATAACAAGATTTGTCAGAATACAGAATAAATAAGAAGTGAATTATTTTCGTATAAAAACAAAAACAAGTGAGTTTTAGTCAATATTTCCTTAACTACTTTACATTAGAACTATAATAATTCAGAGATTACTTGGATGTTTGAACTGGAATCTGTTAGATGATATCTTTACTAATACCGTCTGATATTTGTAGTGGTGTGCAATAATATTTGATTTGATATTTCTTTTGCGTATACAAGCATATAAGCATATAAGCTCAAAGCGTGCATAAGAATCGAAATTCATTTATACATAGTCATAATTTTGAAGAGGTGACTTAATGCAAATCAAAAGGAAAATATTTGTTCCGGGTATTCTTCATACTCGCTTTCTACTTTTGCTTTAAATGGTGTAAGCATCAATGATGTCATTAATAAAATCAATATTTATTATTATATATATTAAATGTATAACGATCTATTATGTATCGGAGTAGCTAATAGCCTATATATATATATACTATTATAGCAACTATATTCAAATTTATAACAAATAAACTATATTCAGAATTATATTAAAATAAAATAAAGATCAAAATACCATGCATTCATTTTATTCACATATTTTTGTACACATATATTGTATTTTTGTATATAGGTGAGATTCAATAGCTCGAAAGTGAGCTGAAAGTTAGATGGCCAAAATCGTAAAATAAGAAAATCTGGAGGTCGCCAAAGGCAGCCGCAGGATAAGATGTCCTAAGCTGAAGATTGTGAAATAGGCGGATAAAGGCATGCTGCATAAATTCCATAT